GTATTCTTGTAAACTATTGACATTTTTAAAGATATAAGCTCATCCTGATGTTACACTGATCAAGACCTTTCATTTGAGTACCCACATCAATATTTCATATATTTATATATATATATATATATATAAAATGCATGTGGGTACTCAAATGAAAGCTCTTGACAAGTGTAACATCAAGATGAGCTTATATCTTTAATAATGTCAATTGTTAAGAAAGTACAGTGCAATTTAACAAAGTTTAAAATTATACCTAGGTTAAAAAAAATAATTTTTTTTTAACAAAATTACTAAAAACTTTAACAGAAAAACCGTAAGTCAATTCCGTGCTACTGGGAAAGCCAACGCGGCGGTTGCAAGAAGCCTCACTGCCCATTTCTGCACACCCTTGACCGACCAGCTCCCAGTGAAGCGACTATCAACCCTAGTAAGACTCCTGGACCTAAACCGGTCACTCAAGAATGGTCTAATCGTCCAGGTAATAATTAATTAAAATTAATTTTTAATTTTAAACTATATAATAAAAAATTTTTTTTAAAACAAAATTTTCCTCCAGCAGATGGTGAAAAATTTGCAGAAGCCAGCGGCGAGAGTAGCGTAGGCCACGGGAGTAGCGAATCAAGCAGTTTTATCAGCGGGTCAGTGGTGGACCCCATAATAGTCCGGTTTAACGAAGGTATGAGGCTTTATTAGCCCCCCCGCCGCCCACCACCGGCACCCTTCAACGTGCACTATCATCTCACGCCAGGCGCTCTGTCCCTAACGTCGACAAATTTGCATCACCACATGAACCACCATCACCACTTGAACCACTTGAACCACCATCAGCATCAGCATCCTCCGGGCCGTAGCCCGGCTCTGGCGATTCGTAGTCACCAGCTGATAGATATCGAACGGATTCCCCCCCACCAGCAACATCCTCGGCATCAACAGCATCCTCTTCACCACAACGGACTCCAGAGTGGCCAGCATCAGCATCAGCAAGTTAATCCCACAAACTACCACAGCCAGCTGTTCGGACACACTACCCAAATTTTAACTCTCTCTAATTTATCCGGTCACCGTACTATTACCAACATTCAGACCCAAAATCAGAATCAGCCTCAATTGCCGAATAATAATTTTACTACCCATAATTCTGCTACGGCTAATTTACCCGACGTTAATAGTTCAAGTAATAGATCACGTTATCCATTTCCTTTTCTCGGTTTTACTTCCTGGAGAAGGTACTGAGCACTTTTATTAGAAATTAATCAATTAATTAATCTGGATTAACCGAGTCATTAATCTTAAATTGGCGAGTACATATTAATACTATTTTTTTTGGAGTTAATACGATGATTTTTAAACAATTGGGATCCAATTTGCCAATTGGTAGCTTCAATTGGCGATTAATCGACAACCGGAGCATAAATAGAATTTTTTTTTGGTGTTAAATTGGTGATTTTTGAACAATTGGGATGTTAATTGGACACCAATTGGCCAATTGGTAGCTTCAATTGGCAATTGGACCATACATAGAATTTTTTGACGTTAATTTGATGATTATTAGACAATTGGAATGTTAATTGGACACCAATTGGTCGCTCCAATTGGCATTTAATCTACAATTGGGTCATAAATAAAATTTTTTTGACGTTAATTTGATGATTTTTAGACAGTTGGAATGTTGATTGGATACCAATTGGCCAATTGGGACTTTAATTTGACACCAATTGGCCAATTGGTCGCTCCAATTGGCAATTATTCGACATTTAAACCATAAATAAAATTTTTTGACGTTAATCTGATGATTTTTCAACAATTGGGACATTAATTGGCCAATTGGTGAATTAATTTGACATCAAATTGCCAATTGGTAGCACCAATTGGTAATTAATTGACATTTAAACCATAAATAAAATTTTTTGACTGTAATTAGACGATTTAAAAACAATTAGGCTCTTAATTTGACACCAATTGGCCAATTGGTAATAAAACAATTTTTTAAGCTATTTATTTTTCATTTTATAAATTTTTTTTGTGATTAATCAAAAATTGGACTATTAATTAAATTTTTTTTGACGTCAATTGAGACAATTGGGTGATTTATCAACAAAAACAAAGATTAATCCAATAATTAATTGATTAATCTGGTGACTGGTGAACAATTGATGATTAATGACAAGTTAACGTGATGGTTAATGCATTTGCCTGGCGGAGATTTTATTTAATGTGCAATTAATTTTATATTTTTTGTTGTTACGTTGGGGGTTCCATGGTGGGTTAAAAATTTATTTTCTATTATTTACCATTGAAATTTTCATTTATTTTGAGTTAACGGCCATTAACAATTGCACGAATAATTAATGGCCTTTTTTTTCTGGATTTTATGGATACTTAATCTATTACTTTCTTAAATTACACTGATTATTGTTATTAATCACTTTAACAAAATTCAATTTGTTAATTAGTTAAATTACAAGATGGCGCAGTGCGTTGTTTTTTTTTGTCAATTTTTTTTTTGCAATCTCCTCAATTTATTTAGATTTTATTAATTATTCGTTAATAGGCTATTAATCACAATTTTTGGCATTTATAAGCATTGATACACGATCAACTGCCAATTAATCAAAATTTTTACCTTTAAATTGTGATTTTTTTGTCATTAATTCAATATAACAATCCAAGCACTAAATTAATTGTTATTGGTCATTAAATTCTATTTAATAACGTTTTTTTGCCAATTATTAATGAAATTTAAACAATTGGTGGTAGTTAACAATTTATTAAAATTAATTTTTTGCTGATTGATTATAGTTAACATCCTAAAGAACATAATTAGTAACTTTTAATGACATTTAAAATTAATTAATTCCAATTTAAAGTGAATTAATTGTCAAATTTCGACAATTTAAATAATTAATTGACAATTGGAGGTAGTTAACAATTTATTAAAATTAATTTTTTGCTGATTGATTATAGTTAACATCCTAAAGAACGTAATTAGTAACTTTTAATGACATTTGAAATTAATTAATTCCAATTTAAAGTGAATTAATTGTCAAATTTCGACAATTTGAACGATTAATCGACAATTGGAGATAGTTAACCGGCAATTAATGACAATTGAATACGATTTTTATTAACTAGACCATAAATAGCAATTATTTAATGCATTTCCAATTGATTAATACCAATTAATAGCCAGTTAATCGAAGGATTAATCCCCCAATTGTCACAATTATCCCCTGAACATCAAATATTTTAAATTGTTTGTGATTAAATCACCAAATTGGCGTACGTTATGTGTCTTACTATCAATTTACGTTAACCAATTTGATTACCAGCCATATTAATTATTCACCTGATTAATTAACATCCAAAATTTAACAATTAATTTAAAAATTTTTAATTTGCGCTTCATGTACCGCAATCTAGTGATTAATCACTTAAAATTTAAAATATTAATATAATTTACCGAGGAGACATATAAATATATATTTAATCATACGATAAATGCACATATTAAATATTAATCCTATTATTTGTTATCGCATTCATTTATCAGCTTAAAGAAACTACCAATCAATTAAATAATAAAAAAAAAAAAAAATAATAATACATATAATTAATTAATGATTAGCCTGAAGGATTTATCAAAAGCGTAAACAATCGTCAGCATTATTAAACTATATTAATAACACAAAGCTGAAATGCCTTCATATGTTTTGGCTTGTTACATGATACTTCCAATTAATAAATATATTGATTGATTAATCATATAATCACATCAATTGATTAACAATTTAAATAAATAAAAAAAAAATAGTTAAATTTAATAAAAATCGGGCGTTTTTTTTATACTAATATGCCATCAAGATTAATCTGTTGATCTAATCCAGATGGCAAGAGGATCTTTTTATGTTGTCACTAAAGAAAATAAGCGATTAATATAAATTGATGAAATAAAAAAAAAAAAAAAATAGATAGAAATTAAAAAAAAGGTTTTTTCTTTGTTTTTTCAAAGCAATTAATGGTAATTAATACTATTTAATAAAATATATAGAATTTTTATTAACAAAAATTATATTAATTAGATAATTATTGATTTAGAATTATTAATTAATAAAATTAATAAAACAAGCGTGTAAAACCTTCGTAGTGGCATTTGCATACACTTTGCAATGGTATAAATATATATAAATACATATTTAAATATATATATATATATATATATATATTATATTATGATTATTGATATTAATTAATAATAAATATAAATTAATATTGAAATTTTCTCAGCTCGGCAAATTGTAACTGCCTATGCGATGGTTAATTTTTTTTTAATAAATATTTATTGTAAAAGCAATTATAAAAAATGATTAATCGAGATTAATTAATTTTTCCTTGGAATTTTTCTTTATCTTCAAAATTAACCACGATTAATTAATCAAAAATTTATTTGATAAAGAACTGATTATTGTCTGCGATTGATATTAATTATTTATTAATTATTTTGATTAATAAATATTATGGGCAATATTATTAAAGTTTAATTTATTTCCCTCTCTTTTCAATTTAAATTAATTTTTATTAATATTAATTCAAATTAATTTATTTCAGAGACTGACAATGAAGGAAATACCCCGTCGCCGCAGAAATCAGCACGAGCGCCATCTCCAAGGCCGTCTTTGAACTTCCGCCGGCAGAAAACCTATGAAGAGGAAAGGATTGATAAGATAGTTGAAGAAACAGCCGCTTATTATTCTTACCCAGTTTATCAGCCAATGGAAGAAGAGTATGTGCCATCTAGAATCGTTCCTAAGAAGCTAAAGGAAGAAAAGAGCATGGACTTTGAAGTTCTGACCTTAGAAGAGATAAAACGCCGCAAGAGGGCTATTTTGGAGGCTAACAATGTTGGTAACTCAGATTGCGATTCTCTAGATGACGAATCGACTTTACCAAGCATCGGTAATGTAGATTTAATCTTATCTGATGAGAAATTACCAACTGAGTCCAGAAAAAGGAAGATTTCCGAAGATCAGCCTTTTAAACCCATTAAATTAAAGCGCGCTGGGTCTGGAGCTAATTCTACTGTCGATAAAGAAGATCATGGACCAGGTGATGCTGCAAAGGGCATCCAATTGAGGCTCTGCGACAGCACTTCTGATGGTAAAGAAGAAAACGACAAGAAGGAAGAGGAAATAAGCTTAGATGATACCCTAGATGACGTTGGTGATACTGCAGAGGCTGTTGATGATATTATGGACGATATTCATCAGCTACTAGGCGAAACGTGATACTTACTAAATTAACCCCTTTAATTTTGGATCAAATAAGTGCCTCCATTTTGTTTTTGTGATTCTGCATTTATTTTGGAGTATTATTTTTTGTATTTGAATTAAAGAGTATTCCTGTATGAGAATTCTTTTATTAACAGCCGGTAAGGTAGAAAAAAAATTAAAATTACTATGTTTATTTATAATTGATATATTATACGCTTATCTAACAGAAATAATCACAATTGGTCGCCAAATTTTTACAATTATTAACTTAAAAAAAGGGTTTAACAGGAACCTTATTACACTGATAATCACTAGTTTAATAATAGTTATAATAATAATTATTGGAATTAATCAGTTACTCTTAACAACTATTTGACTAACTAATAATTTATCTATAAGAGAAATAAAATAACTGATTAGCTATTAACAAAATTTATATATTGTAAATTAAAAAATTTATCAACTGTCGATAGTAGTTCTATACCAAAATACCAACTGAGTCTTGTTAGCAGTCGGTAATAAACTGACTTACCGACTTAATATCAATTTCTGCTTTATTAAGACTGATTAAAGTGTCTTATAGAAATTAGAGTCCATTTGTCGGTAAGTTAGTTAAATACTTATTTCTTAAATTTATTATAATTAGGGCATATTTTCAATTGTTTAAATTTAAGGTTAAACATATAATCATTTAAACAGTAGCAAAATTTCGGGCCCTAGTAATAACCTTAATTATCAACAAATGGTCTTTAAGTTAGTGACTTTTGGTAAGTTAACACATTAACAAGTCTGCAGTCGGTATTGTAGAACATTACTGACTTATCATCAGTCGTTAATTCGACAATTAATGTTATCACTGTAACCTAGGACTCCAGTACTGAGCAGCCATGTCTGGAGTAGGTTGATGACCTGGTACAGCAATTGGTACACTGACCCCAGGAGAAATGAGACCTAGAAACAGACACCAGTGTTGAAGATTAGCACACAATTGGTCTAAAAGAGTGGATTATGACTAGCAAGCATGTTAGATAAGCTGGGTCGGTCATCCATGATTGGTTATCCATTACCGATTAGCAGTGGTGATGGTAGCCGAGTCCCACGTGTGGCTAGAGCGCTAGCAGCGAGTGGAGTGAGTGCGGTAGACACTCACCGGTCGAACTGGGATTCTGGTTGTACTGGTTAAGTCCAGGCGTGTGGTACGGCTGGGTAGGGCTACAGCTCGGCCTAGACCCATAACCTAGATGAAGAGGCTCGTAGCTGGGTGGTCTAGCTACGCCGCAGGAGTAGCCATTGTCCCGCTGGTGGAGACAAGCCGCTGGACTGGGTCCAACTGTCATACCGACGGTCATCCCCATGTGGCCCATTCCGCCGCTGGTTAATGATGACATCGACGTCGTGTGCTGCTGGCTCTGCTGGGCCATGCTGAAGTTTGACATTGATGTCATTGGGCTGGAAGACAATAAAATTATTAATCAAGGTCTTCTAGGGTAAGGTTGGTGATTGGACTTACCTGTAGGAGTCAGGCATGCTGGGAATCCCCGGGTAGACGCTCGGTGCGAAGCCATGGTGGATTCTCGGAGGAGATGGCGGGACTTGTGGTGGTGCCTGGGCACTCAGTATCCCCGATGGTGGTGGCGGGGTCGGATGCCCGCCTACTAGATTCACAGAATGACTTGATTGTTGTTGGGATTGCTGGGATGGTTGATTGTCACGTCGTTGGGTGCGGAGCTTTTCTTCGCGTCTCCACTTTGCGCGGCGATTCGAAAACCAGACCTGAGTTAGTTGAGATAAGGTTTATTTCTATGCTACAATCCTGGGAGAAGGATAATTTGGGCAGTAATTGGAATTAGGGCCAAAATTTGGAGTGTTAGGATTGAAATCTGAGATTTCAATCAAGATTGTAATATGAGATTCTAATCAAGATTGCAGGGCTTTAGGTCCAGATTGGAAGGTTAAGGATCAAGATTAGAAGACTTAGGATTGAAATTTTGACTCAAATAAAACACAAGAAGGTTTTAGATCAAGATTAGAAGGCTTAGGATCAAGATTTAGGATTATAGTCAGAATATATGGCTCAGGTTCAAGATGAGCAGACTCAGCAACTAGATTAGAATGTTTAGAATCAAGATTAGAAGGCTTGAGGTCAAAATTTGGTGGCTTAGGAACAAGATTTAGGATTCTAATCAGAAGATATGGCTCAGATTCAAGACCAGCAGACTTAGAATCAATATTGGAAGGCTTAGGGACAAGATTAGAAGACTTAGAATCAAGATTTTATGGGTTAAGTTCAATATTCAAACCTAGAATCTCGTCTAAACAGCTTAGAATTAAAATTCAACGTTTCAGTCAAGATTAAAAGGTTTAGGATCAAGATTTAGGGTTATAATCGGAATATATAGCTCAGGTTCGAAATTAGCAGAATTATTATAAAGATTAAAAGGTTTAGGGTCAAGATTATAAAGTTTTGAATCAAGATTTGGTGGCTCAAGATTAATATTACAAGCCTAGAATCAAGTCTAAACAGTTTAGACTTAAAATTCAAGGTTATAATCAAGATTAAAAGTCTTAGAATGAAGATTAGAAGACTTAGAATCAAGATTTGGTGGCTGAAGGTCAATTTTCAAGCCTAGAATCAAGTCTAAATAGTTTAGAATTGGAATTTAAGGTTTTAATCAAGATTATAAGGTTTAGGGTCAAGATTATAAAATTTAGAATCAAGATTTGGTGACTTAAGATAAGTATTCAAGCGTAGGAATTAAGTTTGAACAATTTGAACTTAAAATTCAAGGTTCTAATCAAGATTATAAGGCTTAGGAACAAGATTAGAAGGCTTAGAATCAAGATTTGCTGGCTTAAGATCAACATTCAACTCTAGAATCAGTTCTAAACAGTTAGGAATTAAAATTTAAGATTCCAATCAAGTTTAAAAGGCTTAGAATCAAGATTTGGTAGCTTAAGATTAATATTGAAGTCTAGAATTAAGTTTAAACAGTTTAGACTTAAAACTTACGGTTTTAATCAAGATGAAACGGCTTAGAAACAAGATTGGAAGGTTTAGGCCCAAGATTATAAGACTTAAAATCAAGATTTGGTGGCTTAAGATCAATATTTAAGCCTAGTGTTAGGTATGAACAGTTTAGGATTGATATTTAAGGTTATAATCAGGATTAAGAGGCTCAGGATCAAGATTAGAAGTGATCGGATCAATATTTGGGATTTTAACCAAGCCTAGGTTAAAAATCATGGCTTAGGATGTAATAAAAGGTTTAAATATAGGAAAAATAGCCAAAAGAAGGCCATTAAACCCTACCTGTATCCTGGCTTCAGGCAGGCCAATTTTCCCAGCAAGCCGCTCCCTAGCAAAGACATCAGGATAGTGAGTGCGCTCAAACTCCTTCTCCAAGGCATCAATCTGGTCATTGGTGAAGCTGGTGCGGTTCCTCTGTAGCTTACGTTTGAGCCTGAGCCTAGCTTGGTCGTCGTCGGCGCCAATACTGCCGGCGTTGCTGTTATCGCCCCCGCTGTTGGTCTCGTCAGAGTGTCCTCCCTCCAAGTCAGCTACTGAAAATCAATCAAACAATGTAGCGTAAGAAAAAATGTATATTACAACTAGATGCGTACAGGATTGCAGCTACAGAGAAACCTTATCTGGAGTTTCTGGGTGAGCGCGTTCGAGCGTCACTGGTTTTAGCGAGGGAGAACCGAATGAGAGAACGCAAGAGAGCATGGCAGCAGAGGAACGGGGTGAGTTTTGTGTGTCGAGGAATGGGAAGCGATAAGATGCCTCCGTTACCGTTTTAGCTATCGCTCATAGTCTACCCGCTCCTGACAATGCGGTAATGGAAACTAGATAGCAGATTTTTAACATTGAATCACACGGTAGTTCGGCTACGCTCTTCTCTACCTACCTACCAAGAGGAGTCTCTATACTCTTAGAGTAATCCAACTAAGGGTGAGGATTAGGGAAAATTTAACCCAACAGTGCTACAGCGCAAATGAGTTGTCTTGAGTTTAGCTACGCAAGATCCTTACCCAAGGCTTAAGCACCAATTAAAACCGCCATGTTATAAACTTATATTGCGTTTCAAAGTTACACACTCAACTCAAATTTATATTGTTATTATTTAACATTAAATTTAGACTCGAATTTTTAATATTTTTTGCTTGATAGGGAACTATTAGTACTGACCAGACAGAACAGGGTTCGAATCCCGGTCAGGTAAAATAATTTTTTATTCTTCAGAATTAATTTTTTATTTAAGTAAAAGATCCTCCCGGAAAAATTATTCATGATTAATGAGGCGATTAATGGGTCTAGGAAATTTTTTAAAAATAAACTAATTAAAAATTATTAATCTTCGATAACTCCCGAGTAAAATGAGCCGTCTCACGACTCAATTGGTCGCAGGTCAATTTTGATTAATGATCTATAAATCATTTGATAAATTATTAATGCGATTTTTGGTAGGAACAAATATTAATCAATAAGGCTTGTAGGTACTCATTTTAATAAGCATTTAAAAATCTAGGTCGCAGTATTAATAATTTTAAAAAATACAAAATTTTTTTTTTCATTAATGATTAATGAGGCGATTAATGGGTCTAGGAAATTTTTTTGAAATAAACTAATTTAAAATTATTAATCTTCGATAACTCCCGAGTAAAATGAGCTGTCTCACGACTCATTTGGTCGCAGGTCAATTTTGATTAATGATCTATAGATCATTTGATAAATTATTAATGCGATTTTTGGTAGGAACAAATATTAATCAATAAGGGTTGTAGGTACTCATTTTAATCAGCATTTAAGGATCTAGGTCGCAGTATTCATAATTTTTAATAATTTTGATTATAAATTTTTCATATATTGTTAATTAAAAAAAAAAGATCAGATAATTAGATAAAGAAATTAATTTCAACAGCATTAGAAAAAAAATTGCTTTTCTTAAATTGATATTTAATATTAGACAATAATTTTTTTCAATTTTTTAATTAATTAGAATTTTATAAAAATTGATTAGTTGTTAAAAACATTACTTGAGCCACAAACAAAATTCAACATTGATATTTAATTTTTAAAAAAATCCCTTTTACCTTAAAACGGTCGGTTAAGCTGGTAAATAAACTTATATATCTACCGTTGAAAGTTCTCTACTCGAAACAAGAAACTCCTGAGCTTGATGTCAACCACTCAGTAACTTAGATATAATTTACGCCTGACATGTCATGGCACATACAGGTAAAAGTTAAAATATTTAAGGTATCGATTTAATGGCGGCTAAATTGAAGGTGTCGTAGCGTAACCTATCATATTTGTATTCCCTCCCTTTCAGGGTCTCGGGAGTCATTCCCATTATCCGGCATTAGTCGACCCTAATAAAAGTACCAGTTTTGTTGAATGGTACATAACATCTGTATCATCACCGGGTGGATGTTGTCTTTCATTGTTACCGCCTTGCATCTGTCGCCGCCATTTTGCCACGCGATGACTCGTTAACGCCCGAGTGGACTCCAAGAGGCCAAAGGGCCAAAAGGGATTGTTAATCGAAAACGGTTACCAACTTTTGATTGGTTAAATAAATTATCATGGTATAATGAACTCCTTGGACGCCAAGTAGCCCTTAACATTAAGGAGCAGCCAGTCCGACCGTTTTGATCGGCATTGTTTCACACTAACCGTTAGCACGTGGGCCATTTAATGAAAATCAACTGCAGTTTAAGAGGAGGGACAATCAATCAGGTTTATTGTTGCCGAATAGAAACGTTTAGCTAAGTGGTAAGTGGTAACTCCATTATAAAACTTTTCCTCCAGTCTTTTTGTGCATTTGTCACTTGACCGTGCCTAAGAACTCTTTGCTTTCCTTTTTGGCTTTTCTTTCTCCCGGTTCCAACACTTTTAAACTTTCACCCCAGTAGATTCGAGTGCTTTTAACACACCTTAAAATGCCCGTAGACAAGCGCCCATTACGCTCCAACGACTTCAGACGATCTTTCTTACTTTTTTTTTTTTACTTATCTTTACTTTATTTCGACTCTCCGTAACTGTTAACCTTTTTGGTGTCAATATTTTTAACAGATCTTGCTTTTAAGGGATGCGCTTGCCTCTTTTACTCCGTCCGACGGCAAACGGCTGAAACGAATTAGAGAGTCTAATTAATTTTTCTAGAAAATTTTAGTATAGATACCTTTATTAGGGCCTAAAGTAATCTTCTGGACCTCAAAGTTTCAAAAATTAATCCTTAATTTTGATTTTTTAAGCTAAACATCAAGATAGCCGAATTCGTTCAATTCCGTCCAAATTTCAAACCTTTCGCAGATTATCAAAAATTAATTTGATGAACTATTTAACCTTCCAAATCTTTTGATAACCATCCCTAGTAACCTTCTAGACCTTAAAATTTTCAATCGTAACCTTAATTTTAATCTGAGAGCTAAAAAAGCTAAATTTTGTAATTCGTTGATATCCTATCAAATTTCAAACCTTTTGCAGATTATCAAAAATTAATTTAATGAACTAATTAACCTCCCAAATCTTTTGATAAGAACCCCAACTAACCTTCTAGACCTTAAAATTTTCGAACCCAACCATAATTTTCATCTTAGACCAAAAAAATCTAAGTTTTGCAATTCGTTGATATCCTATCAAATTTCAAACCTTTCGCAGATTATTAAAAATTAATTTAATAAACTAATTAACCCTTAGAGTCTTTTAATAACCACCTAGAGTAACCTTCTAGACGTTAAAATTTTCAATTCTAACCATACTTTTGATTCTAAAGCCAAATAAGGGTTAATTTCGCAATTGGGTATCTTATCAATTTACAAACTTTTCGCAGACTATTAAAAATTAATTTAATGAACTAACTAGCCTTATAAATCTTTTAATAACCACCCAAAGTAACCTTCTAGACTTTAAAAATTTTAAAATCTAACCATAATTTTGATTCTAAACTTAAAAAAGAGTAAATTTCGCAGTTGGCTATCTTATCAATTTTCAAACCTTTCGCAGACTATCAAAAATTAATTTAATGAACTAATTAACCTCCCAAATCTTTTGATAAGAACCCCAACTAACTTTCTAGACCTTAAAACTTTCGAACCCAACCATAATTTTAATCTTAGACCAAAAAAATCTAAGTTTTGCAATTCGTTGATATCCTATCAAACTTCAAACCTTTCGCAGACTATCAAAAATTAATTTAATGAACTAATTAACCTCCCAAATCTTTTGATAACCACCCCTAGAAACCTTCTAGACCTTAAAATTCTCAAACCTAATCATAATTTTAATCTTACACCTCAAAAAGCTAAATTTTGCAATTAGTTGATATCATATCAAACTTCTACCCTTCTGCAGATTATTTAAAATTAATTCAATAAATTAATTAACCTTCTAAATATTTTGATAAGAACCCCGACTAATCTTCTAGACCGTACTTTTGGTTCTAAAGCCAAAAATGATCACTTTTAAGTGAAACTGTGAATCTCTTGAACTAATGAACCACCCGTTGTAAGATTAGTTGTCTCATCACCCCGACGGGTCACGGCGCGTCTATAGCCTGGAAGTCACCAAGACCACGGAAGCTACAAATGACAAGCACATAACAGGAGTCTTAAAGTTGATCCGGAGTCCCAAAAGATAAATTGGATAAATGAGAACGGAAATATTATAGAAGTGGATTAAATGCAACCATCCGTTGTATACGATCGAATACATAAGCAGCTCTTTCTAGGTAACTGAGTTTGCTGGGGTTATTACGCGATTCATTTGTAACTCGGTCTTTATATGTTCATGTTCATGTGTTTTACACACGGTTCTGCAGAGTATTTTCCCCGGCGAGGAGAAGAAGAGAATAATATATAACTGCACGGTTTCCCAGCCGATAGACTCCAATCCTCTTTGCCAACAAACGCTCGAGTGAGCGAGCAGAGCAAATCTCCTTATGCGCAACTCAATCAAATTCCGCCCGTATATTTGCGAATCTATATAAATTTTTGTTATTTTGTCCTCTCATTACACATTTTTCCCGGGTTTATTATTATTATTCTAAGAAATGGCGATGATAAAATAATAATTGGGAATCTCTGATCCCGTAGTCTGGAGCTGAGGCAAATTGTCAACAATCCAGGAGCTAAATAGGCGAAACACACGACTAAGAGGACAATTATTTCCGGCTTCTTGACTCCTGCGATGTGTACCTTTACAAGTTTTGCTCGGTGCATAGTTCGCTGAGCAGCCAGCCCTAACTTTCAGCCCAATTGTTACTGATATCTTAAGATACAGCTTTATAACAAGCTCAAAGTTACTTTAAAATAATTAATTTTGCATTTTTTCCCGCTAAAAAATCCGCAATTTTAATAGCTTAATTTTAAAGGCCCAAAACTCGGGTCCTATGGGACTTATGATAAAAACAAAAAATTACACTTATAGGAAATTTAATTGCCTATCAAAAAGTACTGAGATGATTTTTTCGTATCTCGCACCATTTCGTCAGAATTTCAATTCCAAAAAATTCCTTCCAAATGACCTTGAAACCCCAGGGTCAATTCCACCGCGCCCTATCTCGGAACCTATGGGCCCTATAAAAAAATTTTTCAAAAATTTTTTGTAGCAAATTTTCTCCCCTATAAGTAGGTGTACGCACTTTTAAAATTACATTGATAGAAACCCGAAAAAAATGGCGTTAAGTAAACGCGAATTTTTTAAACCAAAAAAAGGGTTCTTTATCGAGCCTTCAACGGTCGCTTAAGCTGTGAACGTGCAAATTTAGCTTCACTTTAACACCGCTACGCTCCCCGGTCCTCAGAGACTTATAAATAAAAATGATCACGTAGTTGGTTGCGTAATGGTCTGACAAATAAAAAGTACGAGTTAAATAAACAAATGATATCATCGAGAATCAGTTGTGTTACAAAGGCTAAATATATCTTAACGCAACAAAAAGTTGATTCGAATGATAATGAACCGAGCTGGGCCAAGGGTTAGGTCCTTCCCTTTAATAACAGTATCCACCCTTCATAGACGGTTAATCCAGTTTACACGCATCCCTCCGGGGTAATTTATAAGTCGGAATCCTCACAAACGCCCCCGGTATTCGATTACCGGGTTTAATTTAAAACTAGTACAAATTTCTGTTCTTTTAAAAACTAAAAATAAAATTTAAAAAATTCTCAACTAAAAAAAATCAGTGTGAGAAGTTTAAATTCAGTAATGCAGGGACGGTAGTATCTCGCCCTTCTTTTGTCCCTCGCTCTCAACTCCGATATTGAAATGGAGTCGTTTGAGTGTTAATAATTTGCTTTGCGAAACCCTCTTTGCCGTGCCCCGGTCTTTAAAACTAAAACTTTATTCTTATTTTCCCTCTCTCCTAAAATTTCTATCAACAAAAACCTACCATCTATTTTTAATATAAAATCCTCGATATTAATCCCCCCTTCCACATTTCACTACTTATTACACGCACGTTATTAACGCGTGCCAGGAATACTAACCCTAGATTGACCAGCAACAATTGCATAACCATGGTCCAGGAAATTCCGAAACTAATGGCCTCAATCCCATTAGAATGCCTTGGAAACTCATCTTGGCCTTTAATTATTCCGTCCTCAATTTTCAATTGGCCAATGTCATCCGCGGGTATAAAACCCGCCTGGCGCTTCATTGGATCATCAGTTTCATCGATAGCTTCGTTGGATCAACATGAAGGTAAGTTAAATTTTCCTCCCAAGTATCTCTAGCATCCTGCTAATACCTCATCTTGCTTTAGGTAATCATCTTACTGGCTTGTGTCGTGGTGGTGCTAGCAGAGCCACCTGTAAGGAACACTTACTACTTTGCTAAGCAAGAAGAAGCTCCTTACCCAGCTTCTGGATGGAAGCCTGAAGGAGCAGCATTTGATCTTCCTCAGAAGCAGGTCCAGCCTGCTAAGCAATACGGAGCACCAGCTGCTCCCCAGAATCAGTATGGAGCACCAGCTGCTCCCCAGGACCAATATGGAGCACCAGAAAGGCAAGTTAGTGGACGTCCACTTGGTGGAGCCTTAAAGAGTCCTAATCCAGCTCCTCAACGCCAATATGGAGCACCAGAAAGACAATCCAAAGGAACACCAGTCTTGCCATTCAGTGGAGCCTTGAAAAATCCATCTACCCAACCTCAACGTCAATATGGTGCACCTCAAAACCAATATGGAGCACCAGCAGCACCTCAGAATCATTATGGAACTCCAGCAGTTCCAGAAAATCAATACGGAACACCAACTCCAGCACCTCAAGACCATTACGGAGCACCTGGACTGCCCCAAAACCAGTACGGAACACCACAATACCCATCGGAATCATCAACAGTCCCGGATTACGACGAGACAACTTTCCCAACGACAGAATCCCAGGTAAGTAACAAACTAATTGATAATCCGACGGCGTACCAAGTTCCGTTTGGGTGATTGGTATTCCGCCGACGGAAACTTTCGATATGTCAAGGACGTTTGGTTACAGGCTGAGCCGGTTGAGTCAGTCAATGAACTGGACGATGTGGGAAACGTGGATGAACAGAAGCAAGGCGAGTACTTCATTGCTCTGCCCGATGGAAGACTCCAACGGGTCCAGTATGTCAGTCGTCAGGATTTAGAAGCCATGAAGTACTTTGCGAAGATCCAGGCTGAGAATGTCGAGCCGCTTCGTGGACCAATTTATGCCTACCAGCCACTCCAGAAGCTGCAATTCGCACCCACTAATTTGGAAGTTCAAGGAGTCGCTGCCAAGATTCAAGTCCCGGTTGCTGCAAAGGTTACTCCTGCGGAGGAAGTTGCGGTGCCTGTTGCTAGCTTCAGCAGCTTTAATTATCCCGAGCAGAGATTTTTGATCAATTTTTAGAGTTGTACCTTGAGATTTGATGTAATATTGTAGAGATAATAAATATGAATTGACGATAGAAGGGTTATTGATTTGTGGCCTAACCGCGGAATTTAAAATATTTAATATTGAATTGTGTGGTTACTTCCTTTCACTTGGAGCAATCAGTTGAAACTTTTCTTAGGCAATTAAACTTTGGAAAGTTAGATGGTCAGAGATTGGTCTAGATGATTTCTAGGTGCGAAGGCCAATAAATAAATATTCGAGAGTTGGGATTAATTTCGCGGACAAAGGACGAACCCCAAGGCGAGTGCCCAGGAGGAGGTCGATTGTTGGGACAAAAGGTATGGAAGCAAGCAGGTGGAACGGTGTTTGTTTGCAGGGAATATACCCAAGACTCCGCGGGAGGTCTTCAATCATCCCCCGTTACACCAATCCTTTTTTGTTCATAGACGATCGATACTTCAAGGCTAGATTACTTTGAATATTCTTGCTTTTCTACTCACGTTTTCAAGTTCGATGTTGGAGGGATTAGTCCTGGATTAAAGCCAAATTCGCTTTGTTTTTTAGGATGATAGAAATTTCGGATTTTTATAAGGGAGTTAGGGTTTCGAAAATTCGAGTGAAAATAAGAAGAAATCAGCTGTGGGGGTTAGAAACTTTGTTATAGTCGAAAGATAAGTTTAAGAGGAACAATGACGTAATCCTGGAAAATTTTGATGTTCTAATCATACCAAAACTTGGAGATCTTTATAAAAAGGCTAATTTTGGTGAGATAATATTGAATGGTAAAGAAAAAATTGGAACTTTTGATGAAAATCCAAAAAAACATCAAAATGTGCAATTCGGATTTTCAAATTTTTGATTGTAACTTTGGATCTAACGGCTGCATTTTGAAATTTGTTTTTGGAGGATAAAGTAGGAGTACAAAGGAAGAGAATAAGACCTTTTTGGAAGGTTTGCGATGATTAGAAGACGAGTTAGAGGTTAGATTAGGTAAAAAAAGTGGTCTACAGATAGCATTTATAGGAAAAATGGCTCACATTTGGGAAAATTTGGAATTCTCATCCTGCCAAATTTGGATATCTTTTGTATAGGGCTAGTTTTAGGAAACTATGAGGTCAAGGTATGGAAAAAATGGAAATTTTTGATGAAAATCCAAAAAAACATCAAAATTCGCAATTTGGATTTTGAAATTTTTGATTGTAACTTTGGATCTAACGGCCGCATTTTGAAATTTGTTTTTGGAGGATAAATAAAGAGTAAAAAGAAAGAGAATAAGACCTCGTTGGAAGGTTTGCGGTGATTAGCAGTTGAGTTAGAGGTTAGATTAGGTGAAAAAGTGGTTTAAGGATAGCTTTTATCGGAAAATTGGCTCAAATTTGGGAAAAATTGAAGTTTTAACTATGGCAAAGCTTGGATATTTTGTGCAGAGGACTAGTTATAGGAGAATATGAGGTAAAAAAATGGAAAAAATGGAAATATTTGATGAAAATCCAAAAAAACGAATTTCGAAGAGTAACTTTGAAGATCTTGAATGTTAGGGCTTATGAATGTTAGAATGGGAAAAAGATCAAAACAACGATGAGGGCTGATGAGAGTAGAACCAGCTCGTGAGTTTCCGCTCGAAAAAAGTGACGGGAATCGATCGAAACAAAGGAACGTGGCGTAAAGAGAGGGAAGTTATGATAAATAGGTGGAACTACTCTTGGAGCTCGCCTTGAGTTCGTATGTAAGTAAAGTAAAACCGCGATCTTTATCCATGTTGATCTCGCGGTCGGATAAACCGTAAGCGAGAGACAAAAGGTAGAGCTCTGATTGGCTATAAGTTGTTGGTTAGACAAGCGAAGTCAGCTCTCGAGGGAATGTACCGAGGACGCACGCGAGTTATGCATGAGTTAAGCCTCAATACATGTTGATGGCTCGTGATGCCGCGGTTGGCTGCAATCGTAACTCGATACTTGCTGGGAGGTCACTGGAGATTGACGAGCGATAATTCTACTCGGTGTGACTGGACGCCAGCAAACGGTGATCCAGGATGACAGCCCACTGACCTGGGAATCCTGGTATGCTTTTATGACACTCGTACGAGAACCCAGAAGCATCTTCAATCTCGAATATGATCGTCATTATTGTCATTATTATGATCATGGTCGTAATAATAACAACTATGACCATTATGATGGTCCTAGTCATAACTACGGCTTAATGATGATCATTATAATGTTTACGACCATGTTTGTGATCATAATTACGGTCATAATGATGGTCATAGTCATAAATATTGTCAAAATGATCAAAAGGTCATAAATATGACCATATTTATGATTATAATGATGACCGTCATTATAAGAGTAGTCATAATAATTACAGAACTATTCTAGTGATCATAAATAATGATTCTGGTGAGAAAAATGATCATAATAATTTATGTAATGACCATAATTATGGTCATAGTGATGATTATGGTCACAAATACGGTCATAATAATGTTAATGACCATAAAAGTGATCACCATGATCAAACGACCATAAATATGGTCATAATGATCGTGATTATGATCATAACAATCATTCTAACCACAAATACGGTCATGATAATTTTTGTAATGACCATAATTATGGTCATAGTGATGATTATGATCACAAATATGGTCATAATAATGGTCATGACCATGAACGTGGTCATAAAGATCAGATTATCATGAATATGGCCATAATGTTCGTGAATATAATCATAATAATGATTTTAATCACAAATATGATCATAATAATTTATATTATGGCCATAAATATGGTCATTATGATGATTATAATCACAAATATAGTCAAAATACTATGAATGTGGTTATAATGATCAAATAACCATCAATATAGTCATAACGATCATTATTATGGTCATAATGATGATTCTGGTCACAAATATGGTCATAATAATTTATATTATGACATAAATATGGTCATGGTCATGATTAACGTCACAAATATGGTCATAATGATGATTCTGGTCGATGATATGGTCATAATAATTACGATTATGACCATAAATATGGTTATAGCGATGATGATGGTCACAAATATGGTCATAATAATGTTAATGGCCATAAATATGGTCATAATCACGATTATGGTCGTAGTGATGATTCTGGTTACAAGTATGGTCAAAATAATTTATATTATGACCATAAATATGGTCACAATGATCATAATTATGGTCATAATCATCATAACTGTTATCATAATAGTGATGATCATGACCATGGTCATAATAATCATGATTATGGTCATAATGGTCATGATTATGGTCATAATAATCATGAATATTTTACTAATGATCATAATAATAATAATTTCCATAAATCGGTACCTTGTCGGCATTTTTTTTGCAATGGTCTCACGATTGAGCTTAAGCATTGCGTATCTTTTGTTTAAAGTCATCATAAAAATCTAAAAATCAACCTTTTTCCACGATACAGCGTGTTGTATTTTGCTATTGTATAACCGAGCGCTGAGACCTCTATCAGGTTGCTGACAAAAAGACGTCGAGTCATTGTCATCGAGAAGAACAAACAGAGAAAACTCACAACAGAGAGTGACTAGACAATGCGTTTGTAAAAAAACGAGAGAATGTTCATATGTTTGATATATGCATACGAATTGTAAATATGAGGTAGAAACTTACTAGTGACTGGAGCCTACCCCGGATTGATAAGAATGAAGATCCATTTAATCATAGGTTCCGCTTTTTGAGGCCTTAAAGGCTACAATACTTGACCCAGAGGGACGCCATTGTTTCGGAGGCTTTTGTCGGCGACAATAAAGTGTCGATATTGATAATATTCAACCCTTTGCATCAGGGATATTATTGTTTGATGCTACGATGCAAAAATTTTCTTTTTTATCAAAAATCCATCGGTATTTAATATAAATCCTCTAAACAGCCTCGATATTGAATTTCTAATTAAAAATATCACTATCAAGCCTCTAGATTGCAATATCATCAACAAAATATCATTTTAGAGTCCTTTTTTATTGATTTTTTGGGCAAAGTAACGTTAAAAACGCTAAAATCAAGAATATTGCAATTTTACCCCCTTAATATCATCCTTAACCCTTCCAATATCACTCTCCTTTCTCTTTATGGTCACGAATATGGTCATAATAATTTTAATGATTATTAAAATGGGCGTAATGATCAAATTACTATAAATATGGTCATAATGATCACAATTATCTTCATAATTATCATAAATATGGCCGCAGTGATCACATGATCACAATTATGGTCATAATCATCATTAATATGGTCACAATTATCATAATCATCATAACTACAGTCATAATCAATATGACTATGATCAAAATTATGGTCATAATCATCATTAATAAGGTCATATGGTCACAGTGATCATAATTATGGTCATAATCATAAATATGGTCACAGTGAACATGATTATGGTCGTAATTATCACAACTACTGGTCATAATAATGATGATCATGACTATGATCATAATGATCACAATTATGGTCATTACCATGATCATAATATTAATAATCATAACTTTTTTTCCATAAAACCATCCCTCACCCCTCCAAATCACTCTTACCCCCTCCCAATTTAAAATATCATCACCCTTCCCCTTGCCACCTGAAAATTCCTAAAATTCCAACCCTCAAAGCCCATAAAACTGTATCCCAGCCTACCAAATTGATAATTCCATGTATCTTTCCCCGGGGGCTTCAGAAAGAGCTATCCCATAAGCAACCCTCGGAAATAATCAAAGCCCGGGGGCTCGCGTGTGGTTGATCCTTTGAAACAGTAGCCTTGTCTTCGCCAGGCGTACCCGCAAGTGTTAAACAATCACAATCCCAATAAACATACAATTTTTCCCGGGGAATATCACCAAACGCGTTTGATCTGAACAATTAGCATGAATTGGAATTAGCTACATACCTTTTTTCTGGAGGATATCCTGCTCGGGCGGTAGCGCGCAGTGGCTGGGGCTGATGCTGGGCTGAAGGGACGGAAAGGGACTGCCAGGTCCAGCAGGATACCAAGGATTGGGCCTGGGCCAGCTGCCCTGGCCATTTAGGAGCCTCAGCTTGTCGTAGACGCTGTCCGGCTGGCTGACGGGGACTCCAGGCTGATGATGCTGGTGGTGCTGCTGTTGGCGCTGCTCCTTCTGGGCGGCAAGGTTCCTCAGCACCCTGTTGATCGACGAGACCTGGAACAGAAGCATTCTGATGATTAGCAGAGTATCAATTAATTAGTTGGATTGGATTGGATGATTTCCCGGAGGAGCAACATCATCAGCTAATTGATGAAACTGGAGTGGGAGTAGCAGGAGTGGGGCTGAGCCCAACAATGGCTCCCAAGTGGGCCCTTTGGTGACATTCCGTGAGCCACTCAGCTTTGTCAAAGTCCTGACGTTGATGTGACTGATATTGTTCAGGTAATTGACAAGCTGAAGCTGGAGGACCCAAGCTAGATTTTTTTTAGATCGTCAACGGGAAATGACAGCTCTGCGGGTTATAAGGGCTCCCAGAGCCAATTCCAACGATTTTTATACGAGCAGACGTGAGTGTAACTAGATATTGCTCTCATGGGCACAACCAAGATTAATATATATATATATAATATATATATATATATCGATTAGCATTTACAGTAAGAGTATTTTATGTGATGCTTCAGTTGTTGTCATAATATTGCGCCAGACCGTGCAGCTACTTCCGGGGGTGGGTGACTTCCGTAGGGAGTTTACGGTAGATTAATATAAGTGTTTTTATAGCTGGGGTTTATTAAGAATAAGAGAAGTTAGGCACACACGTGCGGGAATTTATTCAAGCTGGATTGAGTTGTAATTTCGCGGAGATTATTCTGACACGTGGCAGGTAGGGATACTTTAAGATTTATCGATTTTAGATCATACTTTAAATGTAACTTAATTTTTGAAAATTCCTATTTATATTACTTCAATAGTACAAGCACGATAACTTGAAAAATAATTTATGGATTTTTTTTAATTTCCGTAGAAGTTTATTATTTTGGGTCTTGAAGGGCCCTATTGAATTTGAAGTTGATCGGCAAAGTAGTTTTTGAGAAAATCGCAAAATAAAATGTGCCGCGAATTTTTGAATATCAAAAACGGAACTTTTGAGCTGGCGATAACTTGGAAAATATTGAAGATAGAAAAAAATGTTTCAAACAAAAGTTGTAGACCTTGAGGATCCCTACAAAAAAGGTTATATAAATTTTCATCTCAGACCGATATTTTTCACAAAAATCGCATTTAAATAAAAATGGGCGAAAATACAATTTTTGCTAATGAAAATTGCTTTTCGAACATTAGCGTAAAACCCTTGGTATGACGACATACTTTTTGTAAGCAGTGTGACACCATGGATTTATTCAGCCCTTAAAGAGTGAGGGGCAGCATTGTCGAGGTGGCATGATCGCTGATTAAAGCAGCGAAAAAAAGACAATGATCTTAGACTAGTAAAAGTTGAGATAGCTGAATGAAAGAGGCTGGAAAATACATAATGCAGTAGCCGGACGTCTACTAACGCCCTCCTTACTCTCAGGGAGAGAAACTCTGTCCTCGTCAATCCAAGGTCTGTTCACGAAAGTCCGTCTCTTTCTTGGGATATCTTGGGGGTGCATTGATTTACGGTGGGACGGTGGGATGATGGGATGCCCGGGTGTCTCCAACCCACACCCAGTTTACTAAGGAGTATATAGAGTCCTCACACCGATAAAACCACCCCAGCTTCCTTTCGAGCTTAGACCCAACAATTCACTCGCCTTGGCTTTCTGAGCCCATCCATTTTATCCATCACCCATTGTTGCGGTTGCTCCTATCCTCCATAGCTGAATTTAGATAAAAATTTTGTTTATGAAGATCTACCGACAAGAACAACAAATGTCGCAGATGCTACCAGTGATTCTCATTTTTACCCTTCTGCTGAGAATCATAGGGGCAGTGGCATTTAGGATTGATGAGTGTCGATAGCAATTAAGGTTAAGAACCTTACAACCAACCGAGCGTAGATCCACAGGATGGAATTCTAATGACAGATATTTCACAGCCTGGACGACTAGTCACTTTCATTAGAAAATTTGCTCCTTTTTTCTTTAAGTGCGATTTTCGGGCAAAATATCGGTCTGAAGTGAAAATTTATAAAACCTTTTTTGTAGGGATCCTCAAGGTCTACAACTTTTGTCTAAAACATTTTTCTCTATCTTCAATATTTTCCAAGTTATTGTCAGTACAAAAGTTCCGTTTTTGATCGTATCCAAAAATTAGCGGCGCATTTTATTTTGCGATTTTCTCAAAAACTACTTTGCCGATCAACTTCAAACTCAATAGGACCCTTCAGGACCCAAAATAACAAACTTCCACGGAAATTAAAAAAAATCCATAAATCATTTTCCAAGTTATCGTGTTTGCACTATTAAAAAAAAAATTAAATCAATGATAATTGAATTATCAAAGATTTGACAACCACCTAAATACTTAGTATCTCTGGCCTCTTTCAGCATAATGAAAAAGTGAAGATTCCTCAGTATCAGAGCAAGCTCTTCTCGGAGCATTCAATTTTATGGCATTACAATAACGGGGGTAATGTCTAGAATAATGAAATTTCCCAACCTCTACCAGAAATATGTTTCATTTCGCGTTTTCTCATTTCGATTCTATTATAATTATTATTATTTTTATCTCATTCGCTTTCCGATTGAAAATATTCTCGAAATTCCAGAGGATGAAATTTGTGAGATGACCTCACAACTAACAAAGAGAGCTAGCTAAAGTTTTAAGCGGAAATGAGTAAAGGGTGTCGAAAAAGAGGATCAAAGGCGTCGTAATCCAACTGGAAGCTACTTGAGCGCGGCTTTTCCAACAATCTGTTTTGCGGTTAAGATTAACCATTTGTTAATGGCCCGTGTAATCGGTTTAAATCAAACCTATTGATATCTAGGCTTAGTTAAATTTTTAAGCTATTGATAAAAAAAATAAGTATGTCGAGATTCTACGCGCTGGTTATTGTTTTTTATGTCAAAGATGGCGATTACAGAGCGTCGCCATTAGGCAAGAGGGTAAGAATTTAAGATACCCGGATTTTAGGGTAAGACTGAGGGGACGCGACCCTCTTACACTTTCAGCTAACCGTTTATTGGACGCATGCAAATATCCATGGCAACGGGTGCGTTACAAAAATACTCATGCATACCATTATCGTCACGATTATCCCGGTAATGGTCCAGGTAAATTTCATTTCAAATTTACATCCAAACTAATGGTCTAGGCTCAAAAATTCTTAAATCTTTTTTGTTTAGAATTTCAACAGCTACAACTTTTGTTTTAAACATTTTTCCAGATTTTTAATAGTTTAGGAGATATCGCGAGTTAAAAGGCGCGAAAACTTAGCGCTTAGGAAAAAAATCAAAATTTGGGAATTTTTGGAAACTGTTTTTTGGATTTTTTGCCAAAATTATAGGGACCTTTGGGAAGAGTATATATAGCAGTTTTAGTGATAATAATACCAATTAATTAATTTATTTGTGAGTTATAGGCATTAGTAATGCATTTACAGAGAAAACGACATTTTTTTTAAATTTTGGACCCGATTTGCAAGCAAACTATTGGTTTAAATTAAAAATCCATAAGGACTTTTTTTGTTAAGGGTCAGAAGATCTACAACTTTTGTTTCAAACTTTTTTTCGTATCTTTAAAATGAAAAAAAAATTTTTTTTTAATTTTTTACTTACGCTAGGAATGTTGTCGTTGGTGCAAACGCCTTCCTGAAGCAATCTATCCCGAATTTCCCAAGCAAATATCGAAGGACACTCGCTCTTGTACAGAGAAATTTTCCCGACTACTTCCGCAGTTGCGACTCGCGGTTTGCTGCCGCCGATCGCTCGCGGACGGATGGACCCTGTCTCGTAGTATCTGAAACACGTGAATAATTTATAAATTATTAACATAGAAAGGGCTTGGAGAATTTTGTGGACTTACCTGCCGAGAATTTTGGACACGCAGCCATTGCTGACCTGGAGGATCCGCGAAATATCACAAGGACGGGCTCCTGAGTGAGCTAGCTCGACTATTTTCTGGCGGGTTGAGTCCGGCAGCGGTCGGCCTCCGACAAAGACGCCGCCCAGTTGATTCACTCCGCTGTGGCCTGAAATTTAATTTTTATTATTGCCAAATTTTTTTGGGTACTCTGCAATGTTGTAAACTTACTTTTATTCATAATCGAGACGAATCTATTGATTAATCTACGAGTTGGAGTATTTTTAATACGCTTATAGAGGAAACGATATTTTTTTGAGATTTTGAATGCGATTTTTGGGAAAACTATTGGTTTAAATTAAAAAGCCAAAAGGACCTTTTATGTAGAGGGTCAGGAGGCCTAAAACTTTTGTATGAAACATTTTTTTCTATTTTGAATTTTTTAAAATATTTTTTTAAGAAAAAATTGTAAAATAAAGAAACTCACCCTTAAAAACAGCAAAAAGAAGTTAACTAAAATTTATAGGGTGTCAAAAAAATATGATAATTCATTTGGTAGGTTTCTTTCATCACAATAGCTTCGGTATTTTTCATCGGGTCGATTAACTGTCGCCCTCAACCTTTTTCTTGGCTCTTTTTCAGCCAGATAACTTTTACTCATTGTTCATTGTGTACGTGACACCCCGCGCTCATAAAAAATTCGGGAGATCTAATCTTGAGATCCAGAATTAGAATCAGAAAAATAAAAATAAACAGCTGAAGTTATTAACATGAGCTAAATTTTCAGAGGGGGGATATGTGTGTGTGTGTGTGTGTGTTCAATCGCCCGTGAAAAAAGAACGATAAATTGTTGTTCGGTAAAAATGACATCGATTTCTGTTGGGACGTGAATCATGTCACCTTTTTTGTCGCCCAAAAGTGTATTTATATTTATAATAAATACCCGAGTGTTAAATGCCCCGTTGAGGATTTTGAGAGCTGTTGATACTTTTATACACCTCGTTACAGTCCTCGAGGGCCCTTGAGCGGCTATTTTACCACCCAATAGACGAACAACTGATATCTAGGCCGTTTTTTATAAAAAAAAAAAAAAAAAAAAAAAAACCCTCTATGTAACGTTATAAAATATTATTTTATATATAACTAAAAATAAGGTGTAAAAAAATCTAATCGAGGTTGATTAAACTCATTACTCTGCATGAGATACTCCAGTATAAATAGCCTATCGATAAGTTTTTTTCTAGTATAGATAAGAAAAACATTTTGCTTGCCGCCCCAATGACTATTTTTAGATTACAAGGAGGAAAATTTGCGCCATTTTGGAAATTTCTCGCCGATTGGTTTTTTATTTTGTCAGGCCCTAGGGGACCTTATAAAGATTACTCATACTGAAATTCAAAACAATTCATTGATAAGTCTACGAGTTATAGTCATTAATAATGCAGTTATAGAGAAAACGACATTTTTTTTTAATTTTGGACCCGATTTACAAGCAAACTATTGGTTTAAATTAAAAAGTCATAAGGACCTTTTTTGTAGAGGGTCAGAAGGTCTACAATTTTTGTTTCAAACTTTTTTTTGTAACTTCAATTTTTTTTTTTGGTTTGAACCAAAAATTCAAAAATGTTAAAAAAAATGTTCTAATTGAGATTTCAGTAAAATGTAAGCTGCGATCCTTACCGGGAAGCAGAAAACAGTTATTAAGTAAAAAAGGAGGTCTGAATCTAAGCAGACACCCGCCGAGTGACATGACGAGGGTTTTATTGTTAATTTTAGTCACGATAGATCCACTCAACAAAACTACTCATCTCTGTTAGTTGGCTGACCAACCAGGTGAATGAATATCTCTGAAGCGCGGAAGCACTTGGGTATTTTTTGTCCGTAATTCTCAAGTTGTTGAACGATTTAAAAGAGAATTGACCGAACAGCGCTCAGTGAATGAACCAACAAAATCTTATGGAATCATAATAGTGATATTGTTAAGGCCGTGTTTTCAAAATGGATTGGTATGTCTATAGATCCAGACATTGTTGGGGTGTGTGTCTGACCGGGATTACAATAACCGAGTATTTGTTGCTGTTTGTATCCAATTCACCGCTTTGACCTTTTTCTCTTGTTAGCTTCTTTAGGTTCAGCGGGGGGACCATTATGGAGATCTATTTGCTTTAATGTTTAACTATATTAATTTTTATGATACATAATAAAGTTTTGAATTTTTAAGAAATTCGCTAAGCTCGCAAAAATGCCAATTTTTATTAAATCTATAAAAGTGTCAACTTTTTAAATATTGATCTTAGAGAAAAATGTTTCCTACAAAATTTGTAGGCCTATTGATTTCCTATAAAAAAGATGCTTGTGACTTTTTAGATCAGACCAATAGTTTCTTCAAAAAACGCTTCGAAACTTTGAAATAAAATGTCGTTTTCTCTATAACCATATAAATAACGCAATAACTCGTAAACTAATCACTAAATTCATCTCGATTATGAATAAAATTAAGGTTATAACATCGCTAAGGACCCAAAAAAATTTGGCAGAAATAAAAATAAAATTTCAGGTTCCTTAACGAGATCTTTGAGAAGGGACACTTGTAGGAACTCAAACAATCGGAAATTTTCCTCGTAAAACGTCACGTTGTCTAATCATCAGCCGCGTAATCACTGTAAAAAAGTAACCTAACTTTTAATCTCCTGGTCTAAGATAAATATTCCATCTCTCGGAAAAATAGTTGTAAGAATGGAATAATGTGCTTGAGGGAGAGGGACTGTATGGACAGACCTTTTCCACGTAGCTTACCCGTAGAAGCGGCTCTGACAGATCCGTTGGCGTGGAATAACGCGTTTACGAGCTCTTTGTCCGGTCCGCTTTAGAGACCACGTCCGCCGCCTCTGCCGCTGCTGTTGCTGCCAGTTTGCCAACCCCAGTCTTAACAGTATGTGTACTTACACTTTAGACATAACGTGTACACACATAAACGTCCGATCCCAAGTTATGCCAGCTTGGATACTAATTTAATTCTATTCTCAAATACCTGCGACGCTTAACGATTGTTTACCGATAAACATCTTTGTCGTCCTTTGTATTGTTTCTCATCTTACTGAAGGCTCAATTAGAATTTTTTTGGTAAAGTCTTTCTGATTTTTAATTCGTGCCAAATTTTGTAGGGTCCTAAGTGATATTATTTAGCTTACTTCTACCGATAATGATCAAAATCGATCAAATAATTCACAGATTATCATTATAAAGGTCTAAATAGCGGAAAATTGTTTTTTCGCGCATTTTTTTTCTTTAAATGTGATTTTCGGGCTAAATATCGGTCCGAGGTGAAAATTTATGAAACCTTTTTTGTAGGGATCTTCAAGGGCAACAACTTTTGTTTAAAACATTTTTCTCTATCTTCAATATTTTCCAAGCTATCGCCAGTTAAAAAGTTCCGTTTTTGATCGTATCCAAAAATTAGCGGCACATTTTATTTTGCGATTTTCTCAAAAACTACTTCGCCGATCAACTTCAAACTCAATAGGGCCCTTAACGACCCAAAATAACAAACTTCCACGGAAATTAAAAAAAATCCATAAATTATTTTCCAAGTTATCATGCTTGCACTATTGAAAAAAAAAAATCAATAATTAAATTATCGAAGATTTGACAGCCTGAATACTTTTTACCTATTTTTAAGTTACTAAAAATCATTCATAGGTCCCAAAAAAATCAAATCCGTTGGCAAAAAAATCAGCGCAATAAAATATTGTGACAAATGACGGATTTAGTTCCGAGATTACACAAATAGTTGAGGGGTAAAAGTACAACTGTCGGTCTAATTTTCCCCTACAAATAGTAGCCGAAGATTACATCGATCTTATTGTAATAATGGATGTTGCATTTTCAATAGCGCAACCCCCTATAGGGTAAATATTTCTCGTGATTTTAGATATCTTTATTTAGCAGTCGAATTCGACATCGCTATCCCCTCTTAAAAGAAAAAAAAAACATTTATTTTCCCATGATAGCTGTTTTAATTACTGAGTTGTCCTGCGGAGTTTAATATTTTGTGGGCCTAATTCGGGCCCATGGGAACCGAGTCCCAATACTGAGGTAAGAATAGCCAGTCTATAAACCTAGACTGGATGCATTACTTTGGGCCTGGACATCCCCGCAGCGCGGCCACAATGACACTAGGACTTTAGCATTGTAAAGCGCACCTTGTGATCGCTTATATGAGATTGTACCTTTATTAATGTACATAACAACCCCGACAAACTGTTTTCATTGTCAAGGAACTTGTAAACAATAATTTTCGGTTTTTTATATTCAACCACTGATTCCTTTTTCGGTTTATTTTATAAGTATCTTACTCTTTTCGCTCAATTTTAAGTACAAGCCTGAGAATTTGCTAAAATAAAGCCTTGGTTTTTTTTTCTTTAATAGTGCAAGCACGATAACTTGGAAAATAATTTATGGATTTTTTTTTAATTTCCGTGAAAGTTTGTTATTTTGGGTCCTTAAGGACCCTATTGAGTTTGAAGTTGATCGGCAAAGTAGTTTTTGAGAAAATCGCAAAATAAAATTTGCCGGTAATTTTTGGATATCAAAAACGGAACTTTTGAACTGGCGATAACTTGGAAAATATTGAATATAGAGAAAAATGTTTTAAACAAAAGTTGTAGCCTTTGAAGATCCCTACAAAAAAGGTTTTATAAATTTTCACCTCAGACCTATATTTTGCCCGAAAATCGCATTTAAAGAAAAAAAAAATGCGCGAAAACAAAATTTTCCGCTATTTAGGCATTTGTAATGATAACCTTGTGAATTAATTGACCAATTTTGATAATTTTCGGCACTATTTATCAAATCAGAAAATTAGTTTTCGAAAAAATTAAATACAAATAGAGTTTACAAGAAAACGTATCTTCCCTTTGGTTGTAAAAAACAGATAAAATTAAAGGAAAAAGGTGGATGTATCGAAACTGTTTTTTGTTTTAAAACGTTGTCTTGGTAAACGTGTCTTAAACATCCCTTCTGTACTATATACTATGTATGCAAGACTCTGGCTCACGAGGGGCATGAAAAGAGGCACGAGGTGCCCGGGGGAGCGTCGGAGGACGAGGATTAGGCGTTCTGTTTGAAGAGGAAATTTTACAGTCGGATGCACCACCGATTCCGGGAGAGCGAGCCGGCAACTCTCTTTCCCTCCAGATCCGTATCTTTTAAAAAATAAATATAAAACAAAAAATGAAAACGTTAAAAAATTCCTCATCATCGAATCAATACCACGAAACAAAGCAATAAAATTCTACAAGACGGCCATGCTTTTGGACGCTTTATATTTTTTAGTCCTTGCAAAATTTATCTACACTTTCATCACAATTTATGATAATCTAATTATAAGACGAGTTGTCGATGTCTAAATACCGGAAAATCGTATTTTCGCCTTTTATTTTTACTTTGAATGCAATTTGCGGGAAAAATATCGATCTGAGGTAAAAAGTTAGAGACTTTTTTTGTAGAAGGCCTAAAGAGCAACAATTTTTGTTCAAACTTTTTTTTTGTACCTACAATTGTTTACGAGATATCTCAATTTAATAGCCGCAATAAATTAAACCTAAAATGCGCAATCTTGGATAAATCAAAATTTGTGATTATTTTGAAAACTGTCTTTTGGATTTTGTACCAAATTTATGGGGCCCTTTGTACCTTGATATAGATTACTTCTACCGAGAATTAAAAAAATCCATTAATTATTTTACGAGTTATCGGGGTTATTAATAAGGTAATAGAGAAAGCGATATTTTTTTAAGGTTTTGAATGCGATTTTTGAAGAAACTATTAGTTTGATCTAAAAAGTCATTAGGACCTTTTATATAGGGAATTAGGAGGCCTACAACTTTTGTAGGAAACATTTTTTTGCAAACTCAATTTTTAAAAATTCCATATTTAAAGCAAAAAATTTTCTCGCCGGAAAATTAAGAATTAATTGAATAAGAGGCAAGAGGGCGACTAGATCAAAAGGGCCTTGCAGACGAAAATTTCTTATCATGTCTGCGACACTTTGGCTGTCTTTAATGTTCTCCTCGAGTTCCTTGTACTTGTATATGTTTATATATACCCTTTTTTTGAACCCCTATGGAGTTTGCTGGTAAGCTCTAAAGAGTGTTTTTCGCGGCGACTTTCAACGAGTAAAAGTATAAAATAGTCTCACGTTAAATATATATATATATATATATATATATATATATGTATGTAGTTGTGAGCGTGTGTAAGGGTGAGGGTAAGCAAAAGAGAATGGGGGTGCGACGCTCTGAAGCATAAGACGCCGACGTTCTTTAGTCAGGGGGTTACTACTCTCTATATCATTCGGTATTCAAAAACGATCAATGCCCTGAGATTTTATCTTCTACAATATTAAATTTTCTAAATTTGATTTTACAAAATTCCTGATTGTAGAATTTTTCAAAAAAATTGCATTTTTTTGTAATTTTTGCTATTTTTAACAAAAATATAGGTTATACACAAAAAAAGTCTCGATATTTTTTGTAGGGAATTTTGAGAGTTACAACAGTTGTTTAAAACTTATTTTTGTATCTTTAATAGTTTACTCAAAATCTCGAGTTGAAAAGTGCAAAAAAAAAAACAAAAAAAAAATCAAAATTTGTGAATATTTTGAAAACTGTCTTTTGGATTTTGTACCAAAATTATGGGGCCCTTTGTACCTTGGTATAGATTACTTCTACAGAGATTTAAAAAAATCCATTAATTATTTTACGAGTTATCGGGGTTATTAACAAGCTAATAGAGAAAACGACAGTTTTTTGAGATTTTGAATGCGATTTTTGAGCAAACTATTAATCTGGGATAAAAAGTCATAAGAACCTTTTTTGTAGAGGACCTTGTGACCAACAACTTTTGTAGGAAACTTTTTTTTCTATCTTCAAATTTTTGAAACTCCGAAAATTGCGAAAAATTGGATTTTTTCAGTTTTTAGGCTTTTTACGCAATTTGCACGCGATTTAATGGTGTAGGGAGAGAATAAAGGTGCTTTTTTTGTAGAAAATTTTCTAAGCTTTAAGATTCAGTAATAAAATTTCAAAAAATGTGTTTTAAGGGAGCTAGAGGGAAAAAATATAAAAAAAATTGTCATACCTTTGTGTGCCATATCGTCAGCGGTAACAGAGGCCAAAAGGCCGGTGGCGCCCGGCCATGGAGCGACCGCAGCGCTAAGTTGCTGCGAAGGCAGAATCTTCGGGCCTTTATAACGTCTTATAATATCTGCGCAAAAAGATTAGCATACATAAATAATAACCGAAAATTACACAATAATTCGTTATCAAATTCAAAATCAGGTCAGGTAAATTTCTTTAGTTGGTTTTAATAATTCTATAAAAGTAATTTAATGCAGATTGGAAATATCTTGGCCAACTGCGTCAACAGTATATGTACACGACCGAACAAATCTTGCGTAACGCCCGACATTTAGAGCAAGTTCAACGAACTTATTTGCTTAAAAAACAAACCCGAAACTTTATTTGTTGTATCCCCTGCTAATTAAAGAAATAATTTTTATTTATTTTGTTTCAAAGATGAGATTGTTTTCAAGTGTCGCAATTTACCCCATTAACTCAATGTAAAATATTTATATTTGTATATTTGTGTAGATGTGCTTACAAACGTGCTCCCTTTTAATGCACCACAGCACCTTCATTGATACTCTTTCACAACATTCTCTAGTATGCTACATGCCATGGATTTCCGACTCCGACCGAGTGCGATAATTAGTCATAAGAGTGTCTCAATATAAATTTTATTGTCGTGAATTATTTCATCATACTCTTTTCTTATCACCAAAATCAATACCTTGATTCATATTATATTTTTATTCTGTTATAATAAAATATTTAACTTGCCGGTTTAAGATTTTTCAAGGATTTTAACGGCTTATTGCGAAATATTTGGGTATATGTTATATTTAAAAAAAAAAAAAAATTAGGGAAGCTATTTTCCTATGCTGGGAAATTATATATTAATTTTCAGGAAAATATTCCTAATTTTTTTTAATAGGAATTTTTCTATTGAAAAATAACTATTAGGAATTTTCATGTAGAGAAAAACTGAGAATTTTCCTATTGAAGAAAATTATTAGGAATTTTCATGTAAAAAAATTACTAGGAGTTTTCCTATTGAAGAAGAAATACTAGAAAGTTTCCTAATTAAGGAAACTACTAGGAATTATTATGTAAAGAAAAATAATTAAGAATTTTCCTAATGAAGGAAACTACTAGGAAATGTCATGTAAAAAATTTACTAGGGATTTTCCTTTTAAATGAAAACTATCAGGAATTTTCCCATTGGAGAAAACTACTAGGAATTTTTTTGTAAAAAAAATTACTAGGGATTTTCCTATGGATGTAAACTACTAGGAATTTTGATGTAAAATAATTACTAGGGAATTTCCCTATTGAAGAAAACTACTAGGAATTTTCATGGAAAGAAAAACTATTAGGAATTTTTATTTGAAGAAAAATTACTAGGGATTTTCCTATTGAATAATAACTAGTCAGAATTTTCCTATCGAAGGGAACTATTAGGAATGTTTATGAAAAGAAAAACTACTAGGAATTTTCACGGAAAGAAGAACTACTAGGAATTTTCACGGAAAGAAAAACTACTAGGAATTTTTATGTAAAGAAAAACTACTAGTCATTTTCCTCGAAATAAAAAGTGGAATGTATTTTCCCTAGTAAAAACTACTCGTCATTTTCCTAACTAATTAAACTACTAGTCATTTTCCTCGAAATAAAAATTTGAATATATTTTCCCCAGTAAAAACTACTAGTCATTTTCCTAATTAATGAAATTACTAGTCATACTCCTAATTAGTGAAACTACTAGTCATTTTCCTAATTAGTGAAACTACTAGTTATTTTTCTTAAAAGAAAAACCACTAGGAATTTTTATGTAAAGAAAAAACTACTAGTCATTTTACTCGAAATAAAAATTGAAATGTATTTTCCCTAATAAAAACTACTAGTCATTTTCCTAATTAGTTAAACTACTAGTCATTTTCCTTGAAATAAAAATTGGAATGTATTTTCCTCAGTAAAAACTACTAGTCATTTCCCTAACTAATTAAACTACTAGTCATTTTCCTAACTAATTAAACTACTAGTCATTTTCCTAATTAGTGAAACTACTAGTTATTTTTCCTATAAGAAAAACTACTAGTAATTTTCCTTCAAATGCAAGTTACTAGTAATTTTCTTCTAAAAGAAAAACGACTAGTGATTTTCTTTTAAAGAAAATCTACTAGTGATTTTCTTTTAAAGAAAAACTACTAGTAACTTTCCTTTGAATGCAAATTACTAGTAATTTTCTCTTAAAAAAAACTACTAGGAATTTTCCTACCAAAAAAATTACTAGTAATTTTTCCTAATAGAAAAACCACTAGTAATTTTCCTAGTAAGATTTTCCAACAAAAAATTTTTTTTTTTAAAAACTTGCAACTTTAAACTATTCCAGCAAAAAAACTTATCCTTAAAAAATTTTCCCGTCAATATATACCCGGAAAATCGATTACCCATAAAACTTTCTCTGAAAACAAAGCCTTGAAGGCGGCAAACACGTTATACCCTCTAACACACCCCGTAAATAGGCTGGAAGACAAATAAGAGTGCAGGTAGTTGAGTGTAAGTCTCATCGACAATTACAGAGGAACAACAAGAGTCTACAAGCTACAAGCTACAAGCTACTGAAACCCGTTAATTACGCCCTTCCTCTCTATCTACATTATCCAAAAGGGTGTACAATGTTTTGCAATTCTCAGATAAAAGACCACCCTTGAGTGTGTCGAAAAATTAGTATAGTAGGCACTTAATTACCGCGATTAATTTCCGGTGAATGACGAATGTTCCAGTTGGGAGGTGTAGCTTTTTGTTCGTAGGCTGGAGGAAGAAAGAGTAGATGAGGAAAATAGAATTTAAAATCAAATGAAAAGGGATATGTGTTAAATCGAGTCTTGTAAACAGGGATCCTGTTTGCGCTCACTCGAGCATAATCCCGTGGTAATCCTCTCTGGTTAGTATACATGCCAAACACTCACTCTGCCGGGATTTATTAATGTTACTGTTGTCATGTTCAATGCTAATATTAATACTAACGATGATATTTTTTTTTTTCGAAGAAAAAAAAATTTTTTTGAAAAAAAATTTAAAAAAAGGTATCTCTAGAAGAAATGACCTTGTATCTCGTGAAACATTGACATTTTTAATGATATAAGCTCATCCTGATGTAACGCTCATCAAGACCTTTCATTTGAATACCCACATCAATTTTTCATATATTTATATATATTATATATTTTATATATTTATATATATTATATATATGTATATATGAAAAATATATAAAAAATCCATGTGGGTATTCAAATGAAAGCTCTTGATGAGTGTAACATCAAGATGAGCTTATATTTTCGATATATATGTTATATATATGTATATATAAAAAATTGATGAGTGTATGATCAGAATAAACTTATATCTTGTGAACTATTGATATTTTGGACGATATAAGCTCATCCTGATGTTACACTCATCAAGACCTTTCATTTGAATACCCACATCAATTTTTCATATATATTTTATATATTTATATATATTACATATATGTATATATGAAAAATACATCAAAAATGCATGTGGGTACTCAAATGAAAGCTCTTGAAGAGTATAACATCAGGATGAGCTTATATTTATGATATATATGTTATATATATGTATATATGAAAAATATATAAAAAATTGATGTGGGTACTCAAATGAAAGCTCTTGATAACTGTAACATCGGGATGAGCTTATATCTTTAAAAACTTCAATATTTAAGAAATTACTAAAAAAATTTACCTTCAAATTTGATATAAAAAATTAACTTACCAATCCTGTAACTCCGTGTCGAAAAAAAGATCCAAAATCACAAAACCACTGAACGTGAGATCACAACTTCAAACTTAGGCACCAAAAATATAAAAAAAAAAACCACTAAAGCTACCTAAGAGGTTAAAAAATAAAAAAAATCCTGGAGCCGCGTCCGTAGAAATGATCACGAGCGTAAGCACCGTCGGGAGCGGAGTCGCGTGTCGTTTTGGCGCGTACACATCGGGATTATATCTCGCGAGTAAACTAAACTTGAATTTTCCTCCTTCCAGGTTGTAACACACGAGACACGAGGCTTGTGTATCCTCTCTCTCTGTGGATAGTAGTGGGGGTGGGGAGAGCAGGCTGCGCGCCAATGGGAGCCGCAGCGCGGCTCCCTCCAGCGCAAAGAGGCGGTCCCCCCTCCCCGAGTCGCCGTGAGTCGTGACATCATCGATTGTGAATGGCTAGAATGGTTATTCGTGCGGAAGCGACTCTCGGGGGCGCTCGTTCCGCGGGATAGTGTTAGTGTGTATATGTATATAAATATTGTAGGGACGACAGCAGTGTTGGGGCGAAGGGAACTCTGGAGTAAGGGTCGGAGCGTCGAGGAGTTCGCAAGCGCAACAGAATTATTGCTCAAGTTATATGTTGTTATATTAAGATATACATTTATTTTAACTACCCCGAGCTGCTCCTACTTCTAACTACTAGTTTCACTTTGTCATTGTCTTAACGGGATTTATTTATCTACTTGTTGATATTTGTTTATAGAGCCCGCTGCTGATGATGCTGGATTAGATTCTTAAGTTAGAAATCTTTTGAAAGGAAAAAGGTGAGAGTAGAGCTTCTTATAGAATTTATCGAGGAATTGGTTCCAAAGTTTGGAAGTTTGTTTTTTGGGTGATACAGAAGGTGGCTACTGAATTTAAAGTCAATCTGATGATTAGATCTCGAGAAAACGCAAAAAATGAGGTTCTAGAATGATTCCCTTCAAAATTGTCATTTTTTATAAGTAGTTTTCTAGAAAACTACTTGATGGATCAATTTCTAGGTTTGGAACTTTGGTTCTTAGGTGAAACAGAAGGTATGTATTGAATTTGAAGTTGATCTGATGATTAGATCCCTAGAAAATGCAAAAATTGAAGTTCTAGAATGATTCGCGTTAATTGTGAATTTTTAATGGTAGTTTTCTAGAAAACTACTTTATAGATCAACTTCAAAGTTTGGAAGTTTGGTTCTTAGGTGGAACAAAAGGTATGTACTGAATTTGAAGTTAATCTGATGATTAGATCCCTAGAAAATGTAAAAATTGAAGTTCTAGAATAATTCTCATCGAATTGTGAATTTTGAATGGTAGTTATCTAAGAAACTACTTTATAGATCAACTTCAAAGTTTGGAACTTTGGTTCTTAGGTGGAACAGAAGGTATGTACTGAATTTGAAGTCAATCTGATGATTAGATCCCCAAAAAATGCAAAAATTGAAGTTCTAGAATGATTCCCATCAAAATAGCGATTTTTCAACAGAAATTTTCTAGCAAACTACTCGACGGATCAGTTCCAAACTTTGGAACTCTCATTCTTATGTGTATCAGAAGATCCAGGTTAATTTAAAACCTAATCCTTAGCTTAGTTCCTTAAAAACTTTCAAAAATTCCAATTCTAGAAAGCTATCCTTCAAAACTGCCATTTTTAACTACCGATTTTCTCCGAAACCACTGGACGGATTAATTCCAAACTTCAGAACTTCCTTTCTTGAGTTCTCCAGATAGTATCTTCCAAATTTGAAGCCA